GGGGGGGGGGGGGCAGTCAGCATGGTCTCTCCGAAATGTCTGTTTCTCAGTTCATTCAGCTTACTCATTGACAAGTGAGTTTTTGTTTGTTTTACCTTTTGTATCATCCATCAAATGATCTTTTGCTTGCTTGGTGTTCTTGGCAAGACAACAAAGACCACAGAATGTAGCCTTTGTGTGATGATTAGCTTTTTCTTAAATTGTTGTTATGCTCCAGGAACATATATTGGGAGCCCAAACCAACATTGGGGCATTAAATCAGCATTTTGGGGCCAGGCGCCCACTAAACAATGTGAAATGACACCTCTGGGTACAAATTAGGAGGTGATTGAACGTCATGTGCAACGGTAGTTTAAACGTCACGAAAGCGCCTTACAACATACGTAAAGAATAGCGGACGCTAGGCACGGTACAGTGAACTTAAAGTATGTTTGTGTGCGGTATGTGTGCGGTATGCGGTATCGTCCAAAAGTAGGCATCCTTGATATTGTTGGAGGCTTACGTCTGAGTTTGTTTTTCATCAGATTTCGGTGAAAAACGGTACTTATAATTCAGGTTAATAGGCTTTATTTTGTATCACCTTCGCTCGCTTTTTGGATGCGTTTTCCTGTGTTGGACAGCTCTTACTCCCGATTTCTAGAATCGTGAAAGCCGTGTGTCTTTCTTACAGGCGGTTAAAGCATGGAATTTTGAGGGACAGCTTTCGAACATATTGCAAATTACACAAGCATATCGAGCAAAGTGCAATTACACGAGCATAAAGCACATCGGGGGCTAAGTCTGGGTTTCACCGTAATAGAGACCCATGATCCATTTGTCCTTCCTCTCCCCGCCCATTGGTTCTCTTTGGCCATCCTACTCGATTTTGCGTTCTTTTTAAACGTTTTTCAGATGAGCCAGGAGCGGTGTACACGTTAATAGCGGTCGCTGCAAAAGTCCAATAAGCAAGCTCAAATCCAATTACGTATATTCTGAACATGCATAAAACAGGTATGATGCAGTGTGCCCTCCATGTCCGTTTCCCAGCTAATTCTTGCTGCCAAGCGTTCGTTTAGTTAAAAGCGGCTCAAGTTTTCCAATTTTATTTGATTATATCATGCACCATTCGGAGTCATTGGCGGTGTGGAAGGCCTCTAATATTTAATGCATTCCATGGACCATGCCTCCACGACCGCTCTACTATCCTCGCGTTTATCTATGCGCTTTCTATGTAGGTTTTGTTTCGTGTGCGGGGCTTCAAATACGCCGCGGGCTTAATAAATATGGCTTTTATAATTACTCCACAACAGACAAACCATTACACACTAATTCTTAAAGCATATCGTAATACATTATGATAAAGAATTTGCATGCAAACGATAGGTGCTTTCAATCGCGACATTATGGTCGCTATCGATGAGAGTTTTGAGCAAAACGTACGGTTGGCACGCGCTCCTTCACTGGGTTACGCCAGGGTCAACTTACCACGGGGGGGGGGGGGCAGGGGGGGGGGAACTCTCCTCCGAGCTTCTTGAACAACTGCCTAACCGTTCAAGAAGGTGGAAGCACATTTAAGCTTCCCGTCGGGTGATCAGCGTGTACATTATGTAGAAGTTAGTGCGCGGTCACTTCACGGAGTTGGACACCATCACCGAAGGTTCCCGTGATTTTTTCATTTCTACGGGCAGTCAGTCGGGGTTTTTCTCGTTGTAACATAATTCATCGATTGTTTTGATTGTGTGCCAGTCGGGGTAAGCCATGCAATGCGAGCTGATATCAGGTCACTAACAGACGTTTGTGAGGCGATGAAAATGTCATGACACGTGTGCCATTGATGCTGGGACGAACTGATCGGCATAACTAAGACATTCCGTGACTGCCCGTGACGAGCCCGTGACTGGTCCAGATAACGTGAGTCGAAAGGGCATAGCATAACGTATGATTAGCGGTTTGGCTTCATCCCGGTCCGACCTATCGTGACCTTAAGCAACAATTTGGTGTGATTCTGACCTCTGGCATGCATGAATGCGCTCTTTAGTGTGGTTTCAGTCGCCAAAATCATTGCGTCACTGAGGACTCTCAAACCACTCAGAGTTCTGGTTGATTTGTCAGGCATCTTGCGCGATATGTAAAATTACGATCAACATGACAGATACTAACGTACGAACTTCTTGGTGACATACACCGGGGTGGGGATTGCCACTTGATTTGTTTGGGATTCGACCGTCGGGTCTGGGCATGGCAGGAGATAGGTGTCATCCCCTCAGGTGACCGCGATTGCCAAAACGCCTCGACGTTTGTCATGTTGATCTCGGTTATGGCCGGCTTACACTGAGCTCTGTCAAAGGGTACCGTGTTTGCCTCGTGACGACGATGAATCGCTTCCACTATCACAACGCAGGAATATCGTGACGCTAATGTACTCCATCATGCCGTCCTCAGCTACCAACTAGAATTCCACGGCGTAAGGAGCTTCGGAAACCAGGGAACGATTGGCCATCGACGACATTTCGCTCAGTCTCGAGTGTTTCGGCCTCGGTGGGTTTCTGTGGATTCCGGCACTGGGTTCTCTCTGCCTCGCTGACTTGATGCTTGCGGCTCGAGCTCTAGTGACGGAGATGCCAACCATGCGTTGGGGCGGCCTTATGAAAGAGTGTGACGAAACCAGAATTGTACCGGAGGTAAAGTCAGATGATCCTCTGAAGAATCAGGGGGGGGGGGGTGAAAGCCGGTTTCTACCTTGTGTCTCTTAACAGAATGTTTTAACGTACAACAGTTAAGTGTTGTTGACGTGAGGGACTGCCATCCAGTGACAAGCCAGTGTGCACGGGTAAAATTCTGAGGCAGCGGCGTGGACAGGCTGTCTCAACGGCAGCGTCTGACGTCATCCGTCTGGCAGGTGTGCCGGAGGAGTTCCGGCAAGGCTACAACGTCGACCTCAAGCGACCGGAAACTTGGGGTAGGTGCCGCTGTGCTGTTTTTGTAGGAAATGTCAAGTGAAACGCTAATTGACATCGTACCCCGCTTGATGTAAAAAAGTGTTTGCCAACCTTTTTAGGTCCACTCCCCTGGAGTGGACCTATGTGATGATGACTGGAGTTTGTATTTGACTATATCTTAGCGACGCAAATCAAAGCATATAATTGGATTCTCAGTATCTCGCTCGAGCGTGGACACACACAATGCCTAGACACAATGTCAGCGGAAACACTACCCTACTTTTCGACCATTGTAACAGACAACAAAGATCCGGCTCAGAGCATGTGGAAAAGGTATTAGCGCCGATCTGTTACGCTAGCTGTACGGTAATTCCTCCGGACCCAGTCATAATTTGGTTGCATGGCAATCTTCTCTGAGACACTCGTATTATTCCGTCATTATTACGTGAGGGGGCGTGTGAGTATTCCCCCCCCCCCGAGGTTGGGAACGCCTGATGTAAATTGTTGAATGTCCATCAGCGTCAGCAGGCCGCTGCCAGTGGTACATCGTGTCCCGTCGCTAAGGCACGCGGCGTGTGGGAGGCTCCGCCATATTGGGAGACGTATCCCTTGTTCTTTACGATCGTGCGCAATTTTCATTGTTCAGTTAATTAATTAAATTAATAAAAGATGAAATATAAGTTATTAAATTAAATTGTATTAAAATATATATAAAATGTGTATATATAATACTTATTTATACATTTATAATATAAATGATATATATATATATATATATATATATATATAAATAATAACTGATTAAATATAACAATTAAGTGAAATAAAAAAGTCTTTCCTCCTGTTGTGTTGGCCGCTCGGTTGCCAAACGTTCATGCATGTCTCCAAGCGGACAAATTTGTGCGACTGTGAGCATGACCAAAATTCACACGCGGAACGCCATGTTTTCTCCCAGTTCCATCATCCCTTTCTCACCCAACAGCATTCACACCGCTCCTGCTTAGGCGTCCGCTCTCCGGGCCCAGCTGCCACTCGGCTACAGCGCGTGTCGTCGCCCACCTCTGGCGGCCAACGCAGCCCTGAATCTCGCGTCCTCGCGGCGTCGGGGGCCGCGGCCTTATCTAGGTTACGGGGGCCACGCTCTACCCCCCAGCGGGCCAGCCCCTGACCTGATCTTGTGTCCTCGCGGTGCCGGGGGCCGCGGCCTTACCTCGGCTACGGGGCCACGCTCTACTCCCCAGCGGGCCAGCCCCTGACCTGATCTTGTGTCCTCGCGGTGCCGGGGGCCGCGGCCTTACCACGGTTACGGGGGCCGCGGCCTAGCTCCCAGTCGGCCCACCCCGCCCTGATCTCGTGTTCTCGCGGCGCCGGCTACGGGGGCCGCTGGCTACCTCCCGGCCGGCCCGCCCCCGTCGTCCATTGGCCAGCACCGTCGTCCAGATCGCGTCGTTCTGCCGCCGCTGTCCGGCCCGATTAGGCCGACGTTTGTCATGATTCGGCACCGAGGCTGACAGCCGAGCTGAGCTATGGCCGCTGGGGCAGAAGCCGTGAGTGAGCCCCGGGGCAATGCACGCCGGGTCGCTTGGGACTGTGGGGAGCAGCACGCGGGGGTAAAAGCATGGCCGTATGCAGATTTGTCGTGATCACCGTCAGTCGTCAGCCGCCAGTGGACAGATCATCTGATTACGGGCCACCAACCAAGGTAGTACGCCAACCTAGTTCTTAAACTGTTGTTATGAAATATCTAACAAGGAGGAGTCTCAGTAAATGTTGAAGCTGAAGTATCCAAACGTTGAAGCACTTCAACATGACCATTTACCAACGTTTACAAAGTGGCGAATGTAGCCATGCACGCTCTAGCCGCGGTGCTGAGATCCCTCTTCCGCGCCAGCCAGCGCACTGCCCCGCCCACCTAGCGTGCGTGACCCGGTCGGTCTCCCCTCCCCGGCGTCCCCTCCGCCCGCCTGCCCCCGGCGCGGCGTGGCCCTCTTGCGTCAGGTCAGCAGAGCTGCCGGCGGCGCCTGCGGAAGCAGTCTGTTATCTCGTTGCGGAAATTTCCGTCAGACGTGAAGCGCTTCCAAGCGGATGCCGCTAATGCATGGTGACGGCCCGGCGGCGGCGGCGGACACGGTGCAGTGGCGGCGGGGCAGACATCGCAGCGGCGGCGGGGCACGCGGCGTAGCGGCGGCGGGGGACACGGCGCAGCTGCGACGGGGGACACGGTGCGGCGGCGACGGGGGCAGGGTGCAGCGGCGGCGGGGGACACGGTGCGGCGGCGACGGGGGACACGGCGCAGCGGCGACGGGGGACACGGTGCGGCGGCGACGGGGGCACGCGGCGTAGCGGCGGCGGGGGACACGGCGCAGCGGCGACGGGGACACGGTGCGGCGGCGACGGGGGACAGGGTGCAGCGGCGGCGGGGGACACGGCGCAGCAGCGGCGGGGCACGCGGCGCAGCGGTGGCGGGTGGACATGGCGCAGCGGCGGCGGGGCACGCGGTGCAGCGGCGGCGGCGGCGGGGGACGCGGCGCAGCGGCGGCGGGGGGGGGGGGGGGGGACACGGCGCAGCCACGGTGGGGGCACGCGCCGCAGCGGCAAACCCTACTCGCTCCGCTGCGTGCTGCCGCCGGGACAGGCTGGGTCTTGTTAGAGGCTCGTGGATGTGGTGCCCACATACGAACGCGTGGAGTCCACTTCGACACGGCATGAGCGGGCTTAAATAGCTTGAGGCTCATGTATATACTTCGTAGCGTTTTCCAAGCTGCTGAATATTTTCCTTACCGAGCAAGGCTACGGATGGACGGGTGTTTCGTCATCTTGTGTCGCTTATCAAGCCAGTGTTCGGTGAACGTGAATTATTTCATGTCCCTTTTCAAAAAAGGCGCAATGAAACATATGTTCATGCCCAGAAAACAATGTATAATGTGTCAAGGAAGCAGAAAGCGAGCTACTGTGTTGAGTTATTTGCAACAATAAAGCGCTGAGAATTGAGTGTTTAAGCACGCGAATGCACGTGCTTACGAGTACTTCACATGACCATTCCATGTGCTGATGAGCCTCTCGCTGAGCACAAAAACTGGCAGTGCGCTGAGGGGTGTTAATTTATTCAGCTTGCATTCAGGGTCATTGACGCACCTGCTGCTCCATCGTGGGCCCTTGCAGTCGCCGCCTCGGCTCGGTTTAGGGGGGGGGGGGGGGAAGTAGCTTGGGACGGATCGTGAGAAACGGACACGGGCAACGTGATGCTCCATGCCCAGGAAAAAAATGTTGCGATTCACGAGCTTGTTCTGTGGTTCTAACTGGCGTGATATTGTGTTCCCAGGCAGCCACAGGCAACGCCAGGTCTTTTGTCTTCGTTCCTTTTGGAACATTGAATCGGCAAAATCGTGCGTTTGCCTAGCGCTGCAAGCAAACTCTGCTGTTTGTTGGGTGTGAAGTCTGTGGCTGATGTAAAGATGCTTCTTGATAACATCTGCGTAGCATTGGGTATGTTTTTTGTGAAAGGAATGCCACACACTTCTGCCTTTTTGTCGTTTCGCATTATTGTTTTCCGGCGGGGGTGGAACCTCTTTAAAATTAAGGCAGCGGCAAAATTGGCCCGTGTCGTTCCCTTTATTGCAACCCCAAATTAGAACTGAGCATAAGATAAATTCAGGAGAAATTTTATAGTTGCGATTAATATAGGGTTAATGCTGAATTTTCTTCGGGGGTGCAGGGTGCTGCTTCCTCTTCCCTCGTGATACACCGCTTCTGTTTCGTGGAACGTTTTTACGCGTGACAGAAAGGAAAGGTGTGCTGAACCCATTGTGCAGGGATGGGAGGAAGCGTTCCTATTTCTAAAAAACCAGCATTTCTACCGTGACGTTAAATTTGAAGAAGTGATATTTAAGCGCTCAACTGGTTGCGTATCTGTGATGCCTACACATAAGCAACTGACAAACGAATGTATCTCTACTTTTTCAACAAAAATCCACATGGTCTATATCAAAAGTATTTTTATTGGTCTTCCGCTCCACTAAAAGTCTGATTCGGTTAGGATTTTTATTGAGGGAATGGACACCTATGGATGGAATGCAAAGCGACAGATTTCGCCGGAGCGTTTGGAAATGCGACGCAATACTGAAGGCCATGGTTGAGACCAGAATCAGCGACCCAACCTGAAGCGGCGCTGCTGTGATCAGTGTGCTCAGGTGCATATCCGTGTAAAAAATGTTGGTATGTGCTGGTTTGTTTTGGACATCGCACTCAGATTTGAGTTAATAGGGGCTGTGCCCCTGGCGGTCGATGACAAGTGCTTCTGGAATGTTTCAGTTATTTCGAAGCCGTCCGTCCCAGAGCCGAACGCGAACGGTAAGCGGCGCGCGCCGTATGCGCCGGTCCGTATCTGCCGACATTTGCATTGATGCAGGCAGTACATGTATGACGTCATGCAGGCAGTGCATGTATGACGTCATGTGTCATGTGAAGGGTTCGGGCTTTTTAGCATGTTTTTCAGTGTTGTTTTTAGGGGTAATTTTTGAGTGGCGCTATGATTTCCTGCACTTGCACAGCGTCAGCCTTAAAGCCAACACCTCGCGGAGGTATTACATTGCGAGGGGAGAATAAGTAACCACAAGAAAAATAGCATGAATCGTGAGGAGATGCATCAAGGTCTGCGTAACTAATCAACCAAAAAGCAGGACTTCTGTAGATTAACTTCTTTTGAATGCAAACGGCTCACAGATATACTGATTAGTTTGGCCTAAAATCTTGGTGTACTTGTACTTGCAATTGCTTCATACTTGGTGTGTCATTATAAATACTTGCGGGCCTCTAAGTATCTGCGATCACAATGCGGGACATACAGGAAAAAAACTCCTATGTGGCTCAAGTTTTGCAACGTTGGTTTTTCTGCAAGATTTGCAATCAGTCGCACGTTTTGATCAAAACGACGTTACAACAGTCACCTTTCACGTGAGTCCCGTGCACGTGAGTTACAGCAAAGCATTGGCTAACTACCGCTTAGAAAATAACGTCGCATCTGTTCGCCCTTGACAAAAGAACAATATCCGCAATCGTGGAGGGGCCCAAAACATGCAATCTGCAGCTATAACTGGCCGCTGGCTGCTTGGCCGGCCGGTGTGCCGGGCGCCGTCGAGCCTCGGTGCCGGTGTTTCAGTGTTGACCTTTGGCACGTGCCGGACGACGGGTCATCTGGGGCCGCAGCAGCGCACCTGCGATCTCGCCTACCGGAACAGCAGTGTCCAGGTGCAGGTGCTCGATTACCGGCACTACAAGGGAGTGCAGCGGTGGCGCGTGCCAGCAACCGGCGTCTACTCGTGAGTGGACGGCAGCCGGCCCGCCGGCAGGGACCGGAGGACGGGCACGGCGGGCGGGGAAGGGTGGGGAGGGCGGGCCGGGGGTCAGGAGAGCGGGAGTCCAGGGGAGTTCGGAGCAGGGGACCGGGAAGGTGACCAGAAGCCGCTGCAAAGACGAGGTTGGGCAGGTGGCAACGCAAGGGGAATGCATTTAGATGACTGGACTTGGTCGGCGGGAAGTTCTCAAAGTGTTTTTTTATTAGAATTGAATTGGATTGAGATATTTGCGAGGCGAAACTAATCAGACAGGAGGTGGTTGATGTCGTGGCAGTATGTGCTGGGTTCGATCCTTTTATTAAACTGCACTGATGAGTATAAGGACCTAGATTAACCACTATGGCTTGCTTCAGCAAATACTTAACATAACAGATTTAAATGAATACAAGGCATCGGGGTAACTAAAAAGCCTCAATCCTGACAGACTATATTCAAGACTGATTGACTGGACTGTATGCTGAATTCGTTACCTGTACATTCAATCCTCGAAAGGCTCAGATTCCACGGTATACGCCAACATAGTCGCGTAAATGTGAACTGCACCGTAATTTTGCTTTTGAAATGTGAAATTTGTGAATGTCACAGGTATTTGCATATCTGGTGGTCATCTAACGAAGCGGGTTGTATGTGTGAGCGGCCGAGGTCATCTGGCGGAGCAGACTGGGTGTGTGTATGAGTGGCCGGGGCGATCTAACGGAGTGGACTGCGTGTATGAGTGGCCGGGGCGATCTAACGGAGTGGACTGCGTGTATGAGTGGCCGGGGCGATCTAACGGAGTGGACTGCGTGTATGAGTGGCCGGGGCGATCTAACGGAGTGGACTGCGTGTATGAGTGGCCGGGGTGATCTGACGGAGCGGACTGTGTGTGTGAGTGGCCGGGGTGATCTGACGGAGCGGACTGTGGTGTGTGTGGTGTGTGAGCGGCCGAGGTGATCTAACGATGCGGACTGTGTATGAATGTCCGGGGTGATCTGACGGAGCGGACTGTGTGTGTGTGAGTGGTCGGGGTGATCTGACGGAGCGGACTGTGTGTGTGAGTGGCCGGGGTGATCTGACGGAGCGGACTGTGTGTGTGGGTGTGTGAGCGGCCGAGGTGATCTAACGATGCGGACTGTGTATGAATGTCCGGGGTGATCTGACGGAGCGGACTGTGTGTGTGGGTGGCCGGGGTGATCTGACGGAGCGGACTGTGTGTGTGAGTGGTCGGGGTGATCTGACGGAGCGGACTGTGTGTGTGAGTGGCCGGGGTGATCTGACGGAGCGGACTGTGTGTGTGTGTGTGTGAGCGGCCGAGGTGATCTAACGATGCGGACTGGTGTATGAATGTCCGGGGTGATCTGACGGAGCGGACTGTGTGTGTGAGTGGTCGGGGTGATCTGACGGAGCGGACTGTGTGTGTGTGTGTGTGAGCGGCCGAGGTGATCTAACGATGCGGACTGTGTATGAATGTCCGGGGTGATCTGACGGAGCGGACTGTGTGTGTGGGTGGCCGGGGTGATCTGACGGAGCGGACTGTGTGTGTGTGTGTGTGAGCGGCCGAGGTGATCTAACGATGCGGACTGTGTATGAATGTCCGGGGTGATCTGACGGAGCGGACTGTGTGTGTGGGTGGCCGGGGTGATCTGACGGAGCGGACTGTGTGTGTGTGTGTGTGAGCGGCCGAGGTGATCTAACGATGCGGACTGTGTATGAATGTCCGGGGGTGATCTGACGGAGCGGACTGTGTGTGTGGGTGGCCGGGGTGATCTGACGGAGCGGACTGTGTGTATGAATGTCCGGGGTGATCTGACGGAGCGGACTGTGTGTGTGAGTGGCCGAGCCCGTGGCCTCTCCTCACATCGTGCCGTGTCGTGTGCCGCGCAGCCTGGTGGCGAGCGGCGCCAGCGGCGGCAAGGGCTTCGAGTCCTTCAGCCAGGTCAGCAAGGCCTCCACGGCCGTCTCCGTGGTGCACCTCAACAAGGGCGAGGAGATATTCATGGTCGTGGGCCAGGAGGGCACCACCGCCTGCCACAAGGTAATGGACACCCTGCGTGTGGCATTGGTCTGCGCTGGCTGTTTAACGGCCTGTTGGTACAGCGTTAATGATGTGACTTACCAACCATTCATTCTTTAAGTGAGGTTTGCCAGCTTCATGCTCAACAGCGTGAGCTAGGTCAAGGATGCTGGCCGACGTCTACAGCTCAAACGATGGCAGCTTTGGCTTAAATTCACCCAATTTCGTTCCAGCGTGCTCATGTCCCGCTCTTGAATGTGAGCAGAGTACCTTATCCTTTGGCTTATTGAAATTTCCTAACGATGCTACGGCGGATATGAATGCTTTGCAGGCTTCTGCTGGTTTGTGTTGGGATGATGTGGTGACATGAAGTTCCTTAAACTGGTATTTAATAAATACGATAGTTGTTTTCTGCACTGATTTAAGGTCAAAATTGTACGAGCCCAAATACAGGTTGTGTGAAAGAGACCCGGGAAGCCGGGGAACCCATTTCGTAATCATTCCGTTTACACGTCTATCTTACATAGCCATTTTCATACGGCGTCAAAAAGGCATTCTGTCGTGTGATTCTTGTGTTTTTCAAGCTGTCTTATTTTTGCAAAGAGAGGTCTTGATTAAATACGTTAACTGTGTCCGTTACCACATTGAGTGATGTCGGCTAGATTCACTTATCTTTCATTCATTCATTCATTCATTCACCGTATTTTTTACCATTTTGCTCTTGTCCTGATAATGATACGCATTGTATCGAAATGTTAACGATTACATAATTGATAGCAAATGCTGTCCCTGCCATCAAGCTTTTAGTTCTTACAGACATACATATGCACAAACATACATATATGTGTATATGTGTGCTTGTTGAAGTGTCAATCTCAAATTCCTTGGTGGAGTTACAGCGTCATGATCGCCTGCCAACCCCGGCGAGCTCTTCAGCTGGATTTCTGGAAGCGATGTCATCCAAGCCAATATCGGGGGCGGGGCCGTGGTTGAGCCGGACCGGTGAATCACTCTACAGTAAACTATGGACGCCGGCGTCGCATTTCGAGGGCTCATCGGATACGACCAGCGTTCTGGTCTGCGCGGCAGTAATTTATGCCCACGTTGTTGGAGGAACCTTGGGGCAATGGCACATTGCATTCCACTGGCCGAAATTGCGCTACAACGTGCGGCTGGGATGATATCCGAGCGGAATTATCCGAGCGGAATCCGAGCGGAATCATCCGAGCGGATGATATCCGAGCGGAATCTTGGCTCTAGGCATAGCTTCGGCGAGCCGACGATTACACTGAGACAGTCTGCAGACGGTGGTAGGTTCCCAGCCCGGTGGAATACGCCTGTGATTAAATTACAATAATATGTTACGTAGAGCTTAGTATGACTGAGACGATGCAATTAGGATTACGCTTTGGATTGGACTAGACCAGAAAGTTGCACAAAGGCAGATCAGAATGCAAGTGGACTGGAATAGTTTGAAGACTTTCATGTAAGTTTTATAACCGGGGACTTGCCTAGATGCGACACTCCAGGTCGAATAGAGCGGAAATGTTACGGATTTATGTGCATTATGTTTGGAAGTGTTGCTCTCCTGAAGGATCGTGCCAGATCGGTTGCTGAACTGAGCAGACTATTTCACTGGATCGGATTACGTCTAAGAAACTACAGCTGTGATGTCCTGGTTACATTTTACTTGGCAGCGTATTCCGAGGCTTGTCTCCGACCCGCAGTACGTGCGGAGGCGTTCCAATCTAAATCTGGGTGGCTTGGTGTATCGGGTTTCTCGGACCTGGTGTTGTGTGCGGGAGTCTCCAACTGAGTCTAAATGGCTTGGAACTCGAGCGTCCGTGCAGAAAACCGTCTGGCGGGAAACTGTGCGAGGGGAAGGCATAAACTAGACGGATGTGAAGGATTTATCCTACCAGTCAGAACGTCAGCGTTGTTGAAGCGGGATGTAATCATCGCATGCCGGCAGCTTCAGTGCGTTCTTGTCTGGGCGTCTACGACGTTATCAAACATCACTTGCGGCCTTTGCGTTTTCTTTCACTGTGTCGTATAACACGGTGCGATGTGTTTACAGTGAGGCCCATAAGCCCACGACGATCTGTGGCTGACCGGCCAGTAACACTCACCTCCCATCCCCATAATCTTCGGAATGATTTACTGTGTTAGCGAAGGTAGCCGCACATAGATTAGATAGCACTAATAGCCTTAGCCATCATGGAATAACCAGGAGAATGAAAAGATCCACCTCGCTATAATCCTGGTTGTTCTACGAGGAATAGGGATGTTATTACTGTCTTATCTATATGCAAAATATTTCTCGCAAATGCACTCAACAACTTCGATAGCAGCATAGCCATCTGCCAAACCCCATTTTCAGTTTTTGATGGATGTTTTGGTGACGTTGTTTGAGGCCCCGAGACCAGTCTACTACCTAACAACTACCTAATAACTACGGTACCACAGACGCATAATTCTGAAAGAAGGATTACTTAAGGTTAGACGTTATATTCATACATCACCATTTCATCACCTTACGCCCGTAGGTTAATGAGCATTCGCAATCCCCACTTCCACTTCCACCGAGACCCTCATGACGGCCAGCCGGCGGGACCAGAGGTGGGACCACCGTATCGAAAGCCATTGGGTTCTGTCGTCCCGGTTCCGGACAACGCCCGGTCAGTGACTGAGCGGGCGTGACAGCAGCACCCACGGCTCGCAGCTGTTGATGCTGCGCGTGGAAATGGGCCGGATTTTGGAGTCATTATACTCACACCAGTCTTCCCACTGTGCGGGTGTTGCAGTGGACCGTGTAGTGACCCGCCGTACTAGGGTGTCCAGGCAGCCTGGTGACCCACCGTACTAGGGCACCCAGGCAGCCTGGTGACCCACTGTAATGGGGCGCCCAGGCAGCCTGATGACCCACTGTAATGGAGCGCCTAGGCAGCCTGGTGACCCACTGCAGTGGGGCGTCCATGCAGCCTGGTGACCCCTGTACGAGGGCGTCCAGGCAACCTGGTGACCCACTGTAATGGGTCGACAATGGGGTCGTCCAGGAAGCCTCGTCTGACCTCTTCCACAGGTCGCATATTGGCGTGACGACCATTCCGATGAATGTCCCTGATGGTGTCCCTGATGATGTCCCTCATGGTGGAGGTGGTTGTGTTGATGTCTTGCGAGTGCCCGTCGGATACCCGCACCATGTCGCACCATCGTCGCACCATGACGTCAGGCAGGGCGCGGATGCTCCTCAGACATTGCGACGCCGAGCTCATGAAGCACGTGTGGCCGATATGCCTGAGCCCGGTGAGACTGAACAGCCGTGGAATGGCCGCGTCTTACCCCTCCCACCTTCGCCGGGACTCACGGCCCGCGGCCAGCTCGATGGGCAGCGGCCGGGTGAAGCCGATCCGGTTCCTTCTGTCCAGCCGGCGCCCGGCTCAGCTTGTTGCTTTCTCTTGCTTTTGTTCCGAATGCTCCCCATCTGCGCTATGTGGACCTGCTCTGCCCGGCCTGCGGCTCACAGAGGCGACGCCTTTAGTCGAGCTTCTCCGGGCTGCGATGCAGATCTGGGAGGGGCGACAGGCCGTCGCATAGCATAGAGAAGTCTCATGCTGAGCCGGCAACGGATCGGACGTCCCGTCAGGCGGGCTAATGACCTTATTGGCTGTCTTCGGAGGCGTGTTCGGCTCGTCGCAGTGGCTGTCTCTGGGCGCAGGCCAGTGATGTGTGCTGACGGGCGCGGTCTGGGACATAGTTTGTAGCGAACGCGGGGGCCGCATTCTCGCGGATGGTGGCGGTTGATGGCCACTGCCAGGGCCAGCCATTAAACATCCGTACACCTTCTGGAACATTAAAGACTGCACCCTGTAAAGGTCACGAGTGATGACCTCTTCGTCGAGGTCATATCAGGCGCGTGTCACGTTCAGGCGTCCGATAACGCCTGTTGTTCCAGGAACAGATGTTTCCAACAGGCGTTCCCCGAGGGGGGGGGGGGTGGGGGCGGGGTGATTCTCCTCGAAGTAAGCGGAATATAAGGATCTCAGGAGGCTCAAGAGAGAAAGCGATGCAGCAAATCATGTCTGACTCAAGGACCGTTACCGACCAGGCAGTGTCCTTAGGTAGGCACTCACCGGAAAGTGATATTGCTACATGCAGCGCTCTGCACCACCTGCAGTGAGCCGAAATTATCCGCCATGGTACCCAAAAACAGAGGCAATGCTTTCATTGGCATGGAGTGTTCAGGCACGTGTGCGGTTCCGAGAGTACATTCCTGTGATTTGATTTGTGTCGCCCGAATATAACCACTGTGTATAACACCTGTATGACCTGATCCAACATGCCATGGGCTGTTCCCACCGACGCGTTATTATTGGTATGTTGGTATATGATCCGTCATGACAAGGACGGCAGCGTATTCAAAAGGGGAGGCCCACCTCCCTCGGAGGTTGTGCGGGCCCAACTGGGACCCAGAAGGACCTAGCACTTTTGGCAGTAGCCCGTAGGGCTTCTAGAACGTAAAAACACGGGCCCGAGGCATAAAAAATGGGATCCCTTGCCTCAAGCGATACCCAATTCCAAAACAGAGCCCTTGCAACGACGACGCGAGGGCCCACTTCGCTGAAAGGGTGCCTCAGTGACCCGATTTGGGCCTTTCCTGAGCGAAACCCTGGCTTAACAACTGGCCAAGGACAACACCACGCTGCTTTCCCACTGCCACAGCCAACACAGCTCTACAGATTGTTGGATGAAACGCAGGGTGATATATATATATATATATATATATATATATATATAGATAGATAGATAGATAAATAGATAGATAGATAGATAGATAGATAGATAGATAGATAGATAGATAGATAGATAGATAGATAGATAGATAGATAAGTGGATAGATATATAAATCACACTAATAACCTACTTTTGTAAGCTCATGTGCAATGACGTATGGAAGATTAGCTGTTTGCATCAGCTTCGTATAAGCGTGCTTGTTTTGTGAAGCTGAAGGAGCGCAATTGCACCCCTCTCTTGCAAAATGAGAAGTGAAATATGTACACAATTGGCCATTTTGTGCTTTGTGGTTGTTTGGTGTATATATTTATGTATTCACAAGATTGGTGTCCACAATATGTCTGGCATTGCATCCTATTTATATGAAGCCTTTCGACATTCTAAAATTGTCATTGATAAGTTCAGTCAATGCAAAACAAACATAAGCACTCCTCCACGTACCAGTTCAGAAAATGGTTTTCAACCTTTCCCGAAAACGTTCTTTTTCACTAAAAAACGTACAAACGCTTGAACGTTAGCTGAATTAATCACATCTGATGCTTGTTTCAATGTCTTCAAATGTGGATTGCCTTTGCCTTAAGGTCAGCATTATGGGGGACTCAGGCGCTCCGAAAGCATTCGGTGATATCCGTGGATAGACGTCCTCGTTTGTGTTGATATTTTTTCATATTTCTTACCTAATTTTGACCCGCCCTATTTAACGCGAAGGAAATCCCTTGCCTTTTCTGAGCAAGGGGCCCAGTTAGTAGAGCACTAGGGGAATCTCACGTTTCCCGTTCAGCTGCTCAAGAGTCGTTCCGTCCCAGTCCGGGGACCTACTGGCTGCCTTCCTGGCGAAACTGGGGCTGTATGCATTGGGCTGTATAGAGCTTTCTGGCGAAACTGCATGTACATTGGTCGCCTGCCTGACTCTGTAAGCCCCTTGACGCGAAAATTTGAGCCTAGATCGACGCAGGGGCTCTCATTGCCGCAAAACATATCTCTTACCGACGCAAGCGTCCAAAAATTGGCACAGAGACTCCGGCTCAGCATAACGGGCCTCTGGCAGAAGTGGGGTGGAGAGTTGCAATGAAGCCCTTCACTGACTGAAACACGGATCTAACTTTTTACTGTCTCATTGTGGAATCTCATCACAAATGATTATATCCAATTGCATTGCTAGAGGTGTCAGACCAGCATAAGAGGCCCTCCAGCATTCTGGATCCAGTCTCTGTCCCCGTTCAGCAAGCAAATGTTGCCCTGGCTGAGTCGGAGCCCGTTACTGACCCTCTGAGCCCTCTGTTAGGCACCGGGGGCCCCTGACCGACGCAGGGGCCTCATTGTTCCAGGGGTCCCGATCAATGCAAATCGCGAATCCCAGCCTTGTCCTTGCTTGGGAGATGGGCTCCCGGGGCTCAGACCGGCATGGAGCAGGCCGTTCGTTGTTGGTGGTCTCTGACCAAAAGAGAAGCCCTCGTCATCCTAGGGTATTCACAACCGGTTCGAGAGACTCTCTAATTGGCATTCCAGGGCCCGGCCCTGCAGAACGGAATCCTTGGTGTTACCTGCACCGAGTCCTTCGCACCTTCCAACCAGGCACTTGATCGAAGGCTCCTACTGCGAGCCCCCCACCCCCCGAACGCTGCCTCGGGCCGATTCTGGGCTCCTCGCCACACATGACCCTTGTTATGCATCGATGTCCCCAGATCGATACAGGGGCCCTTCATTGTCTCAAGGGTCCCGACAGATGCAGATCGTGGTTTCGGCCTTGTTCCTGCTTGGGAAATTAGCCTTGAATTCCAGACCTGACGCTGGAGTAATCTGGTTGCGAATCCGTCACGTGTCACGGTTGTGAAGTCTCGACCGCAGGGGCGTAGTTTCGCAGAATAGCCAGGGGGCTGAGTGGGAAGCCCTAGTTTTAACTACACTAAAAATATTTTTTCCCGATTTAAGCCACCTTTTTCTCTACGTAATGGAGTTCGATGCACACAAATTGAGTGGGAAACTGCAGCACTGCTCCAAAACGTTTTCTTCGCCCTGCCTCGGCGGAAGATGCCGTTGGGCATTATTATTTTTTGTTTGGCGTCGATCGTCGAAATCATGTCTCGGTAATGGACTCAGGGTCGATGTTATCAGGCTTCAGACGTCTTTGGACGTGTACGGCTTCGGGAGTGAAGAGCGTAAGTTGATGTACGTTACCATTAAAAGCTGCCACGGAAACCTCCGGCTGGTAGCCTTAAGGCGGGCTGCAGACTGCAACACAGCGCTCGGGTTACGCATGTTCGACACGGCTAATGCTGTTTTGGTTACCATCGGTGGACGACTGCCGATATCGGTTTGGTTGGCGAGTGTCGGTCGTCAAATTTTCGCAAATGTGTCCTCAAATATTCACGTGAGGTTGGCACATTTCAAGCGGCCTTTCGAACGTTGCCGGCCAAAACTTTGTTCACGTTTCTAGGTGCCAACATCTGACCGGTTTGTTTTCAATTTCCGATAAGACGCCGCATCGTATCGTAGCAAATAAACGCAGCTTGCTGCAGTCTGTGAATGTTTAAACATCATTGAATATCTGTCAAAACACTCAGGCAATAGCACAAAACGATATCAGAGTCTATAAGACATATAAGTGGTGTGCGTGAAAGCATGCATCATGCAAGAAAAAAAGCACGAAAAATTATCAAGTAAACACTGTGCGAATGCGGAGCTTTTACAGTTTGACTACCTAAGTCAGCTGCATTCCACTGAACGTGGCATTGCAGTTTTCATTTTCTTTGTCCTTTTGCCTGTGAAACAATAAGTAGAAACCTGCCTTAAAATTGGTATAATTTTGACTTCTCATTTGTACTGCCCTGCTTGTACCTTGGCTCTAGAAAGCTGTAGGGCCAAACTCACCGTCGGGGAGGGGGTAAACGGGATATTGGGGGAGACCAGAGACCCATCCAGAAGAATACATATTGACACCCGTGAATAACATAACAAGAGTCTAACGACAAGGCATAATTATAAAGAGAAGCATAAACCCTTCAATGTTTTTCGTTGACCTTTTGACCCGTCAAATAACCCGATAATGCGACCGGCTTGGATTATAAAAAATCAGAGAAAGAAGGGGGAAGGGTCATTGTTGAAAGTGAAGGAGAGAAAAAGTATCCTCCCAGTGAGGCTGAATGTAGTATCGGAAAGCAGTCAACATGCCGCCGTAAACCGGTAACATTTGGGGGAGATATGCACGGAAGTGTATGCTGTTGGGTATCCCGCCCACCTCCGTTTAGCAGCACTTGTCTATCGCATCCCTCAGCCATTTGCCCATTTGATTTCGCACACGTGCGGGCAAGCAATGTCTTCGAGACAACCGACCCGGCGACGTTTGCTTCGGAAGTGTGACTGTCTTCCGGTGCGCCGTTAACCACGGCTGGGGATCACTATGTGAGACCATGACTCCCTCCTGCGTGTGTGCCCCGGCTCCAGTCATCCATCAGTGTATATATATATATATATATATGTGTGTGTGCGTGCGTGCGTGCGTGCGTGCGTGCGTGCGTGCGTGCGTGCGTGCGTGCGTTCGTGCGTGCGTGCGTGCGCGTGCGTGTGTGTGTGTGTGTGTGTGTGTGTGTGTGTGTGTGTGTGTGTGTGTGTGTGTGTGTGTGTGTGTGTGTGTGTGTTCCCATCTCCGAAGCATCTTGGAGGCTTAAATACAAGATGTGGTACAAGCACATGCATTTCTAGAAATTTCGCCTTTCCCCTGCCTCCCCCCCCCCCCCCCCACCCCATGCACGTCATGGAGCTGCACCGCTGACGTCCGTTCTGCTGGCCGGCAGGACGCCACTGGCACGACGCGAGAGTCCTGCGACTATGGCGTGCCGCGCACCATCGCCTCGCTCTCGCGCCTGCACAGGGTCACCGGGCTGTGGCGCTCGCGCCGCCACCGCGCGTCCCGCGATACGAGCAGTGAGCTTCTCAAGCGTCTCAGGAAGATCCAGTTCGAGGGTGGCGGCGGTGGCGGCGGCGGCGGCACGTTCGTCTTCCAGGTGGGGCGGCGCCGCTGACGGCCGGCGGCGGGGACGGGTGGGGCGGTGCTGCTGACGGGCAGGGACGGGTGGGGCGGTGCTGCTGACGGGCGGGGGACGGCTGGGGCGGCGCTGCTGACGCACGGGGACGGGTGGGGCGGTGCTGCTGACGCACGGGGACGGGTGGGGCGGTGCTGCTGACGCACGGGGACGGGTGGGACGGTGCTACTGACGTACAGGGACGGGTGGGGGTGGCGCCGCTGACGGACGGGGACGGGTGGGGTGGCGCTGATGACGGACGGGGACGTGTGCGACGGCGCTGCTGACGCACGGGGACGGGTGGGGCGGCGCTGGTCGCGATGTGTGCTGCCGACAATCATGCTGCCGCCACGCTGGCGGTAATTGCGTGGGCTCGGCCGTCGGAGGCGTGATGTATGCTGGCTGCGACGCTGAGCGGCGTGCGATTTCCCCGCAACCACGGACACGGCGCGACGGTAGGTACATGTGTCGTGGCTTGCAAAGGCAGGTGAATGCTGCGCGACACCAGGTACGTCACGACATGCACCAGACTGTCACACATTTGGGTGTTTGAGAGGAGATGTTGGTAGATATTACATATAGTCCCTAGTGGCACTGTTCAATGCAAAGGCATAGGTTTGTTCATGGTCTGACGAACTGGTTTCAAAATATTGGCGTCATTTCTCACACGTTTGCGGATAACGCAAATTGCAATAACATTAGTGAAGCTAACCTAGGCCGTCCTGCTCTGCATGCACTCTGCGCTCTGTATGTTTCTAGGAACAGTATAATGAATGTAATCGCTCAAAGCATGCTCGGAAGCCTAGCCATTTCTATGGGCTGACGAACGGGCGCCGCCTGCTGGAACTGGTCATACACTGCTCTGCGGCGAACGCGCGCGGAAAATTGTCATCGCTTATGACACTTGGACGTGCAGCCTGGTCACCCAAAGCATGCAACAAATAATCCATTTTGGGAGAACTTCATTCCTAAAGAATCCGGTTGTAGGTGTGATCAGCTCCCCACCATATCCAGCACTGGCGCCGCTTCCAACGCGCTGGCTGGTCACCAGCTACGGAATGGATGTTTGAAAACACTGAGCAAGGTGGCTTACGCTATATTGCCGGGCGTCGACGCTGTCGACGAAATTGGGAATTACGTCATTTGCCGAAGCCTTGATCATTTGACATTACATTGTATTGTAATGAAAATAAAATGTGTTTTCATTTAAATGCATTGAGCTCCCAAAGAGTGTATCACATCTGTTGAAAAGCAAAGTTGTCGACTGAGGAAACATTTCAAACAGGTGAAAAGGTCAGAGCAAATGCCGTTTGCCATTTACTCATTCATGGGGAGTGAGCACGATGAAAAACTCCGGAGAAGTCGCTGTTTCCTGATGGAAATTTGAGCTTGAGGGCCTTCTTAAGGAGCCTGGCCTTATATTTCGAAATGAGCTCGTCTGATCTATTTGTGTAAGCGTGCAGTTCAAATCCTGCCCAGCAGGTGGCTCTCCATGTAACGACAACGGTGCGAAGCAGTGCATTACGGTGAGGTGTTTTGGGTCGCAAGTTTGGCCACAAAAGTGTTCGTACTATCGGCTCGTCTGGTTCGGGATGATGTACACACTATCACATCAGACGAAGACGAGTGTGCACAATGGAGCTATTCGTGATACGAATGTGTCGTCTCAACCCTTTCGTCAAACTCAACCGGCCAACATTGACTTCAACACTTGTGGACGGGCCTGACCTGCTCACCCGCTGCGCTGAAACCCTTCGCCCGTCCCTCCCCCCCCCCCCCGCCCCAGGTGAAAAACCAGCATCAGCTTTCCCGTGTGGTGCACCCGGCCTTCTCGTATACACCACCTAACGGGTACCGTTTCTGACCTGACCTCGGCCTTTCTTGTCAGGTGAAGGACCAGCTGCAGGTGCCGCTGGTGGTGGCGGCTGGCGGCGGTGGCCTCTCCAACAACAAAAACGACTTAGCGTCGCCGCACGGCCGCGGCGAGAACCACACCGTCGGCCACGGCAACGGGCGCGCCTCAGAGCCTTACGGAGCCGGTCAGTGGCCGCGGCCGGCGCGCCGGCACCACGCGGGCTGGGGAGGGGTGCGGCGGCGCACGCGCTCGCTGCCGGCTCCCCGAACCGGTGCGACGTGTCAAGGCTCGTTGATGGGACCTGGACGGCTGGTGCTGGCGGGCAGAGTTGTGGACGACAGGCGGTCAGTGCCCATGACCAGTGAGTGGCGGGCGGCGGCAGGGTCTGTAGACCCAGGCGTCCGTCGCTGGCCGCCGGCCGCCGAGGTACGGTGCTGATCGGTGGTCCCCAGCGGAGCCATTCAGCTCTCTCCGCGCTCTGACGAAGGGCCCCGATGTGCCGAGGGACGACCTGAGCCGGTGGACGCCCAGCCTCCGCCCTGACACTCAGCGGGACTTGGGGCGTCTCCCGCTGCCGCCAGCTTCTTTGGCGACAGTGCGCTCTGCCCATGTCCTCTTCCTACGCCGTCTGCACGTCTCCTGTGTCTCCGCCCGCTGCCCGTGCCTTCCTCTTCTCCCCTCTGCCCTCTGTCCGTGTCCTCTGCCTCTGCCCTCCACTCTCTGCCCATTTCCTCTGCCTCTGTCCTCTGCCGGCCTCCAGTCTCTGCCTCTGGCCTCTGTCCGTGTTCTCCGCCCCGGCTTGTTTCCTATGCCTCGGCCCTCTACCCGTGCCCTCCTCCTCTGCCTCTGCCACCTGCCAGCTCCGCGCCCGCTGCCGGGCCAGCTCGTCCTCGCCATCCCGGCCGCTCCAGCTCCCGGTCGCCATCGAGTCGCGGCCATCAATAGTGCCAGGAGCAGTGTGAATGGAGTCGATCAGAGCGGCGTGCACTGATGGATGGAGTCGTTCAGAGCAGCGTGCACTGATGCATAATTAAGCGCGGTTGCCAGATGGATAGGCTCTCAGAGCCAACGGTATGATAGCGGGCGGCCGGAGCTCGTCCATTTACGATACCGTCCGACTGAGGCACGAGGGCGGCCGCCGGCCGCCGGCGGCGCTGGGGCGAGGCCGGCAGTTGGAATTCCCTGCGACAGCTTGTTGGGAGTTCTATTTCTAACCGTCGCCCGCAGCGCATACCAAAGTGTAGCCGGTGCTTCGGCTGACATTTGCAGCAGATTATTACAACGGCGCGGAATTAGAACCCCGCTAGGCAAGAGCGCCGCGTAAATACTGACCCGCAGCTGACGCGGCGTTCATCGCGCGCATCTTTGCATTGCTCTTGAATCGAGCAAGTGTAAAAACCCCTTCCACCCCACGAACCCGCCATGCCCCAGGCCGGCTCTGCTGCCCCGGTCTGCCGCCGCCTTCAGCGCCTGACCCCCGCCCCCTCCTCCCCCTGACCCGTACCTGGTTTTCGGCAGGCCCGGGCGGCGGTTGGAACGACTCGGAGCCGACGGCGGCCGGCGGCCGGCCTCTGGTGCTGGGCGCCATCGGCGGCCCGCCCTGCCGCAACGCCACCGACTGGGGCACGTTCGGCGGCTTCGGCGGCGGCGGCGGCGGCTGCACGGCCGGCGGAGGCGGCGGCGGATATGCCGGTTAGTCCGTGGTTGCGCAGGTCGCCGGCACCGCTCGGCAATACTGTAACCGTGTGTGTGTGTGTGTGTGTGTGTGTGCGTGCGTGCTGTGCGTGCGTGCGTGCGTGCGTGCGTGCGTGCGTGCGTGCGTGCGTGCGTGCGTGCGTGCGTGCGTGCGTGTGTGTGTGTGTGTGTGTGTGTGTGTGTGTGTGTGTGTGTGTGTGTGTGTGTGTGTGTGTGTGTGTGTGTGTGTGTGTGTGTGTGTGTGTGTGTGTGTGTGTGTGTGTGTGTGTGTGTGTGTGTGTGTGCGCGTGCCCATAAGGGCTTCATTGTAACCGGCGTGGACTGGTGCCTCTGTCAGGCTGGGCGGGGTCACCAGATTAGGATATATTGTGAAGATAACACCCTGTGGACAGCATCCGGGGCATACAGTGTCCTCTGGACAGCGCTCAGAGTTCATAGCTCCATGGCACTGACGTGCTTCGGCCTGCTCTAGATCCGGTCTGTTCTAGATCTGGCCTGCTCTAGATCCGGCTACGCCAGCGTCGGTCTGGTCTAGATCCGGCTGCCCAAGCTCCAGTCTGGTCTAGATCCGGTCTGGTATATATCCGGTCTGGTCTAGATTCGGTCTGCGCTAGATCCGATCTGCTCCAGATTTGCCCTGCTGATGTCGCAAAGAGGTGGAGACAGAAAAGCAATGATTGCACTTTTTCTCTAGTCTGGCCCAGTGTTCATAAAGAGATGAAAAACTCTCATTTATATAGCATTGCCTTGGAGCGGCTGTGAGGGCAGCTGTGGTCCGCAGGGAAACTTTCCAGCCTCTGTTGTGTTGAATACGCGTTCCTCGCGGATAGTAAGTAACAGGATGCTGCGGACACCTGAGCCAAGATGGCGAAAGATTCTTTAATTTGAGCATGGTATATAGACTTCCCCTGAACCCTACTATTTAAAAATATGTCTCGCTTGGCTTTGATGCCCAGCCATTCCGCACGAGTACATCTAACTGGGGCCATTCAACATGTTCCTGAAGCTAACAGGTGGTGGCATGTGTATGCGTCAGCCGAATGCCCTCCACACTGCCAATTTTGTTTTTTTATATTGTGGTGAGCTGAAGAACAACTCGTATGTGGGCTAGATTATAAATGCTTAGGTTTTGCATGTCTTGTCTGTGAGAAGCCGGATCTTTTCACGCACGGCAGTGTGTGGATATTTTTAAAGTAAGTCTTAATTGCGCAGTCCACATAACCATCATACAGTGCGTCCGGGTTTTTGTTGGTGCGGGATCGGCGTCATGCCAGTGCTTTGTCTCGAAGTCTGCGCTCTTTCTCGCTTGTTTATATTGCTTACACTCAGCGGGATTCAGAGGCGATTCGCTGCCTTGGGTAAACGCGGAAGCCATCACGGCAACGCAACACTACACAATTTCTCGAAAGCACTAGTGATGCATTCGATGCGCCATTCAACACGCAGTTATGATGCGCTATTAAACACCGCGGGAGTTGGAAACAGACGTGGCTTCGTATGCCGATGCCTTGCATCGGTGTGCCCGTCCAAACGGCATGTTGGTTGGGACCGGGTGGCTTTCCGACAGTGCCCAAGCCCCGAGCCGGCCATAAGGCAGGCGGCACCTAGTGTGGGCTGGCCTGTTGTGTGTGTGGGTGTGTGGGTGTGTACCACGCGTCCTCGTGGCTCGCTGTCGGGCTGGTGCCCCGGTGTTGGCGCGGCGGATGCCACCTGCGCTGTGTTGTGGTGTTAGCTACACCAGCCGTCGTCGTCAAACCCCAGCTGGTGTCCATGACCGAAGTTGACGTCTTCCTCGGGACGATTAAGCATGGTTTCTGTGCCGCGAAGTGTAGCCTTTAGATAGCTGGCTTATTTTCCGACACTTGGGCGGACATACTCCGGGGTACTGTACCTCAGTACCCTCAGAGCGTCTCGTCAGGCACTCCGCTCCGAGTCCTCACAGTTGAATCTCGTACATCCGCGCCAGTGGCGCTGCTTCTCCGCGCGCCTCACCGTGCCCCGCGCCGCCGCAGGGGGCGACGCTCTGGACGGGGCGAACCAGAACGGCCGCGGCGGGATGAGCTTCACCACTGGACAGCACCGGGTGGTGCGGCCGGCCAGCCACATCGGCCCCGGACAGGTGCACGTCATCCCCGCCTTCAAGGTGAGCCGGCGTCCCGTTCTCGGGTCGGCTGGGCGGCCGTGTCAGCGGTCCGTTACTGTCCTGTGTTCGACACGCGCTCCGAACATCCTCATATGTTTGGCAGACGTCCGTGGCCCGTGTTAGGTTCAGCACAGGTGCTGGTCCTGGTCTCAATGTCATTGATGGCTCAACACACTGCACGGACCTGGGAGACAACTGGTCGCAGAGCGACCGCCAGCTCAATACACTGCACGGACGTGTGAACATTGTTGCTGCATGTTTGCCGAAGTTTGCATAACTATGCGGTCTCACTGATTTCGCACGCAGTTATCAAATGTCCTTTCCGGGTGCCGCACTCGCCAAAAAAGCTGGCGGGAATGCACGGCTGTCTTACGCTAGCCTCGAAGATCTCGCTCGGCGCTCTGTCGCAGCCAGTCCCTCCTACTCCTCTCCCACGATGACGAGAACCTCGATGACGAGAACCGGAGAAACCAAATCGGATGACTCAGACCGAGCTTTTCCGTTTTATTGGACCTACTGAATGTGCATTGACAAGGACTAACATGTAATATCAAGATCACAACCAAACCTGGACATATGTAAGGGGCCAGGCCCGCTATAAATCGGACGGAACAGTCAGTGCTGCGCGCGCGTCGCAGCGCAACCTCCAAAAGGGGGCTTGGGGCGGGGTCGGATTTTGCGCGAGCGTCGCGTGCACTGCACATGATGATAAGGCAGCGCAGGACCCATGCTGCCTGAACATGACAACACTCCAAACCGAATTATTTCTCGGCGGCTCGTGCTTTGCGCATAGATGCAAGCAGCGCCGCGTGCGCCACGCGTGCGCATTAGGAGGCCGCACACGGGGCCCGAGGCGTCATCCGGCATCGTCATCTTCCTCTGGATACCAGGCCATACTGGTACTCAGTGGACAGATTGAGTAGACGCGGCCGCAAAGCGATCACTGTTTTTGCCCACTCACAGTGAGTTTGCCTGCCCACGTTCCGATTTTCTAACCGTACTGACCTCAAGTTATACGCTATTTCTTCAGCGTGAATGGGATCAGCACGCACCATCCATGTGCAGTATCAAACCACGACTCGAGCACTGGAACAGCACGCAGCAAAACAGGCGCCTGAAGGAGGTCCTGCTTATAGGGGTTCAGACAGACAGCACCAAACTAGCACGTCCTTATGTTTTCGACGGGACGCTGCCTCCTCCATATCATTCCTGGCACACTCCATGCACCTGTCGAACACTGTTTTCTCGCATGCCCCACACACCGACGCGCGCGACAAGCCACTCATACGCTAAACAAACACACATGGACTCCCATTGATAATCACAACCATTCCAAGCGACTCCCGTCCGCACATTTGGACCTGCCCGTCGAATTCCTACACAACACAAACTAAGATCATTGCGTATTAGTGTTAATAAGTTTTCCCTGCGCAACTGCAAACGTACAGGATTTCCACCTTGGCAGAGGTTTTGCATACACAATCCGCCAAAAACTTGTTGACTTTTCCCATTAGCCAAGTAATCCGATTTTTAGCCAGGATTATCCTCTATTAACATAACACATCAAATGGCAAGGCCGCGCCGGGCAGCTGAGCCGGCTCCTTGGGGTCGCAGACAGGGCGCAGAGCCGGGGGACCCCCTGTTGCGCCAATAATGTCCGCTTGATCCACCGGCTGAGCCAAGAGCGAACCGATGGCGGCAACGAAGCGGTCGGGGCACCCGCACTGGACTGCTCTGTATTGCGTTTGTATGCACCTGTTGGTGTGGAATGTACGAATATGTGAACTCGCCGTGTTTTCGTTCAATTACCGCTGAATCCGGACAGAATCAGCCGTTTAACGTGGCGTAGCTTACTTTGTCTCTTGCCTCGCGCCGAATCACATAAGCCAGCTTAACTTAGCTTCTTGCCTGACCTTCGGCCGGACGTGAAATCCCCGCTCCGGCTCTGACGTGAGGCCGCCGGGGAAAAGAGGACAAACATGAACGTGGCTCCGCAAGCGTTGTTCTTGCTCGATGCCGGACATTAGCCGGTTTAGCCTGCCGTAGGTCATCGCTCTACCGTGCTCTGCGTCGGACAGCAAAAGTTGGCTTAACGTAGCTTTCCACCAGGCAGTCAGCCAGGACATAAAGTTATTCAGCGCCGAACATGACCTTAGGTCCGTTGGCGCAGGCGAAAAGAAGAAAAAGGTGATAGTAGCGGGGCTTGGATGATCGCCTCCCCCCCCCCCCCCCTCCCCCCGATCAAAGATCAGTTTCACTGTCGGTTGGGCTGTGCTCACTGCACGGCGTGTAGACGATGCATTCACCTGCTCCACGCTATTGGTTTTCGTTTTTGTCTCTGTCTGCTCAGCCTCCGTCTATGAGGCCTTTTTGCACCTCGTGGACGCCAGGTAGCCCCACATGTGCCATCTACAGAGACCACATAGCCCGGCTGTGTACGAGCCCCAACGCCACACAGCTCTTCGCCGCCGGAGGCTTTGGGGTTGCTTGGTCCCCGTGCCATCGACAGTATCTGCTGTGGCGTATTTTCGGCTAGGAGATGGCAGCAGGTTCGATGACCTGCGTACAGGACAATATCGTCCGGCGCTGGCCGCGTCGCGAATGTTTCCCTTGGCAAACATGTGGCAAAGGGCCGTGGGCCTGACAAAGCCTCTCATTTTTGCGCGCAGTCTTTTGGTGACAGAGTTGGACGCGGCTGGGGAGGCAAATATTGGTGCAGCTGTTCGGTGCAGTGCAGTGTCAGGAACCTGGGGGGCGAGCGGGGTGATACCGCCCCTCTCCCGTCGGTTCAACAAACACGAGCGTTTCGCATTATCGCGATCATTGCATTTGAAGCCGTCGTGGATGGCTTTTGTGTCGTGCACGCGAGTGCGGTGCCGTTCGCGCAGCAATTATAGATTTCAAAATTAATGTTAGTTACCGGGCCTCGTCGGTCCGTCGTCAGTCATATGTTATGCATGGTTATGTGTGCCATGTCAATGAACGGTTGCAAAAATCACAATCAGTTGTACCGTAAATTTTCTAAGACATATTGGAACCCCTGACACGTGTTATATCTGTTTGATAGTAGCCTTTTTTCTTTTGTACTACTTAGCTAGCGCGTTGAAAACCACGCGTTATGTGGATGTCTTTACGCCACGCCTGCTAGCAAAAAAAAAACAGATGTCGACCAACTGCTGCGCTATCTGCTCTAGAGGATATGCCTCCCGCGAGCAAACCCTGTGCGGAAAGATGCCGACACATGCTGTTCACGCGGCGTCTGCTGTCGTCCGGCTCCCATGTCTTGGGCGATGGGGCACAGCAAGACATGAAAGGCATGAAAATACAGCGGGACTGAAATGCATTGTGTTTTCCGTGAAACTGTCCGTACAATATTTTGTGGAAAATGCATCAGAATTTATATTTGAGGACCGTATTTCCTCCTGTTCGTTTTCACTTTTTTGCGACTTTTCTTATGATCGCCTTATATTTAAGTTCAAGACCGGATTTAGTGAAGGAATGCCCACACGAATCTGAGGTGTCCCGCGTGGCAAAACCCTTATAGACGAAATGTTTGCAGGCAATATTATTTGTAGTTTGGTTTTGTTTTGACGCGCTAAATAAAGCTTTTGACAGTAGCTGTTTTGTCACCGGAAGTGACGCCATGTGAAAATTCTGTCTTTAACAAATTTGGCATGGAGCAGGAACATTGCGTGTGAACGTGCTGTGCGATTGTCGTGTCACACTCTGTAAGTTTTTTGGTGTGAATGCTGTCGCATGGACGTTTCGATGGTGCGTCAGCGAAAGTAGCCTCGCGTGGAAGTTTTGTCTAGCGGTTTTCTTGCGTCACGGTTTCAGGTCAAGCGGTGTGAGTTGTCAAGCGGTGTGAGTTCTGCCGTGAAAACACCCGTATTGGCTAGGTATAAAGCATATGTTGGCATGATCAGGCCCCACCTCAAATGAGTGGTTCACGTTTATTTGAGGTTTTCAACTGAAATGGCCATCTCGAAGATCTTTTGGTGCAGCTCACAGTGCTGCCCTTCTTAAGATCCAAACCCTTCTAGTTTCCGAGTTACACGCCCGCAAAAATTGTGAAACTGATTCGTGGAGGGCGTTTCAAGGTCATATTGGCATTCATGACGTCATAACGCTATTTAAATCCTGCCATTTCATGAGTCATTCGACGATCAAGACCGAAAGAATATAATGCTCGAGTCGTTCATATCGGTGTTCGTGAGCACGATTTCCAGATATATCTGCCGCCAGCTGGCTTTCAATCATTGTTGTGCAAGGTGCGATGACGTAATAAAACAATGACGTAGCGAGGTGCGTATTTACTTAACAGGGAAATCGTGTCCTCTAGAGCAGTCCGTATTGCCTAAAAGTATAACAACATTTAACATTGAACTTGTTTCGTCATATCTGATGCGTGCTTCGATATCTTCAAATGCGAAGCATTCCCTTTGATTCTTCTCTGATGCGTGGTGCGTGTTCGCACCTGTTGTGTTAGGTAACTTCTTTGATGCGTTCATTAATTTGCGCGCGTCGTGTGAAGTGTCTATTCTCTTTCCTTCTTTTTTATGGTACTCATTCACTTGAGCGCAGTCACTGCGTAGGAGAGGCTGGGGGACGAGTTCCTCGAATTTCTCGCAAAGCAGGGTCTTGTTCATTCCACCTTGCTGGAAGAATGCATATTTTTCAGATTTTTCTATCAAAATGGCATTGTCAGATCAGTTTATCCCGCAGACTACAGGTTGACCCCTCATATTCTGATTTGTACGCCCAATGTTTGGGGTGGGGCAATCTTAGAGACGTGGTTACAAACATGGGGGGGGGGCGGACGTGGGCGAGCCTACATCACCGCAACATGACAAACAAAAGCCAAGAACTCAGTTCGGACCCAATCGTGCAGCGTGGATAGTTGAGCTGGCTCAGTCAGCTCGGTGGCTGCTTTGGTCCGATGGAGGGCACACGGCGACCTCCAGACAGAGTAGATAGAGGACGTCCTGTCTCTGACACTCGAGCCGCGCGGCGTGACGTGGGACCCACCGCTGCGCACGTATGGCGCGTCCCGTCGATGGCTCCAGCGCTCCGCGACACGTTGAGACCCGCATAAGCGCAGGTGGGAGCCGGTGTGATTGTGCAAGTCAGGTATGTTGCCGTTTTTCGGTTACGCTAGAAACGCGTAAGAGCCGTCCTACATAGTGCTGGGAAAATATGGCTAGTGATGAAACTATGAGAAGGGTTGTAAAAGGCCAAATGAAATAATGAATTGAAAGAAACCTGGCACCACCTTAGGCGGCATGACATGGTCTTCGCTCAGATTCTCAAGGAAGCGCTGGCTCTGCACTTCCTCTTGCGGATTTCAGCCTGCTTGCAGGCCTTGGTTTAGCTCACGACAGGTGTCGTTGAGGAAGGCCGGTGGTCGCTCCTGCCTTAACGCCAAGTAACTGGCGGTCCTGCTTGAGCTTCCCGTTCCGTCATTCCCGGTTTGAGGTGCTCATGTCCGTATAACCCCCCCCCCCCCAGCGTGCTGCCATTTGTTGAGGACCCGGTGGCGCAGTTCCTTGACAGCCGTGCTGCAGTTATAGTGATGAGTTTCCTTGTCAATTGCGGGATCGGGCTGGAGAGTTCTACAGCGATGCACCATCAGCAAGATTTCGTCCCCCCGTTCAATTAATGCGGAAAGTAGCGAAATTGAAGAGAAAAAAACTGGAGAACAATTGCCGGTACGAGGTCTTATCTCCACAGCCTGCGCCACAAAGACATAAAAGCACTGCGTTTGCCGAGAGAAATAACGAAAAACTTGTGGCAAAATCGACATATCGGGCTATGAAAGCCACGCATGTGGTAAGATAGTTCATTTTTTTCAAAAGCTCGCATTTTTGCACAATAGCTGGGTAGTAGTAGTCAAAATCATCAGCTATTGCAAAGCCATCGACATTGTCTACCAAAATGGCCAGAACTTGGACCCAGAGTAACTAGAAAATCCTAAGCTTGGGCTACGCCTTACCATGCCCGAAGCCAGTGGCTGTTTAGTCGACATTTGTAAATCCGCGTACGAACGTTATGCAACACTGCACGTCTGCCTGACTACCTCATGAAAGCTGGATATGCACTGTTTATTCCGAGTCTATGTGTACTGGCTGCCAAATGTAACCGGATCCATTTGCATGCGTTTTGATATAACTTACGTAAATATAAGGCGTCTATTCTCGGCTCCTCTTCCCGCTTCGCCAAAATGTGTCTCGCCAATCTCCGGTTGTCGGAATGCTTACCCAGAAATCAGCGATTGGTAAGATCCTTACCACCGGCTCGTCCTGTTTTGCACTTGCTGATGTGAGTTGTAACTTAGGTTTTAGGTTTATTTGTTTTTCCCTGGTGACGACAGACGCTGATGGGTCGAATCGCTTTTATGTTTGTCTCCTGTGCTGGACTTTAACCGGCTGAACATGCTGGCCGTGTGACTGAAGAGATGGAGCAGACAGACAGAGGAGAACTGAAGCCGTCTCCCCACTCTCTGCAGCTTTACTCCGCAACCCACTGCGAGACTGTTCTCCGCAGCCCGCTGCGAGACTGTTCTCCGCAGGTGGCCGGTGCACGCGCTCTAGAGCCGAGTCGATCTGGGGCCGGCAGTGTTTGTGTGCGGGGAGGGGACGCCAATATCGCCGCTCGCGCTTTTTATTATTCCACTTAGCCGGACATTGATTTTCCGGCGGTGTCAGCGGAGACGATGGCACAGCCTATTCTTATGATAATGACGCCGCCATCGACGTGGGCGGCGTCATTTGCTCCTGCCTGGCTGGTACAATCCTCGTCGCTGCGGGCGCGCGCGCCCGTGCCCGAGCAAATGATGATATTAAACGTTTTTCCTCCTATGATGGATAGGTACCTCAGCACTCATAGAGACTCCAGTGTATTATGCAGTGCGTTCCTTCATGTTATACCTTCTCTTAAGTGCAAGATGTCTTGTATGCCTATTGGCGTTGAACGCTGGTTTCGTAGGCCAGGCGAAATGTGCGCAATGACGAATCGGTTTGAGTCGCATTACGAATGGCTTTATAGCCAAAAGCCAGCATTTGTGGCATTATATATATATATATATATATATATATATATATATATACATATGCCCGGTTTTACCATAGCTCACAACATTACGGGCAAGACGGACGAAGTGGCGTCACTGACATGGGCGAGTGCTGACCTCACGCGCCGCTGATGGCTGGACCTGCTCGTCGGCAGACCTGCTGAGCGGCTGACCTGCCCCCCCCCCCGCCCCCAGGGCTGCGGCTGCGAACACCTGTGCGCCGCCATCGACACCAGGGTGACAATGACCCGCTGCATCTGCCAGGAGGGCTGGCAGCTAATGGACGACAAGACCTCGTGTCAAGGTTAGTGCCAGGGTGATTAACGGCAAGACTTTGTGCCGGGGTGATAGACAAAACCTCGTGTAAAGGTGGGTACCGGGGTGATGGACAATACCTCGTGTAAAGGTGGGTGCCGGGGTGATGGACAAGGCCTCGTGCCAAGGTGGGTGCCGGGGTGATGGACAATACCTCGTGCCAAGGTGGGTGCCGGGGTGACGGACAAGGCCTCGTGCCAAGGTGAGTGCCGGGGTGACGGACAATACCTCGTGCCAAGGTGGGTGCCGGGGCGTGTGCGAGGCGTTCGGCAACAGCTTATTTACAAAAGGGGAAAAGGTTCGCTTCCAGATGGTCCTTGAAGGCAAGTATCTGTCCTCTCATGGTGGAACATAAGTCAGTATGTCTGAATGATGTGCGATATGTCATATTAATATAAAAGTATGTGCAGTACGTGATGTAAAGGTATTTGTATGCATCCCTCCATCTGGCACAGAGCCGTATTCAGTGGCTCCTGCCACGGTCGACTCATTATTTTGACAATGACGCACCGTAATTATGTGCCGCCTGCGATGCTCATTAGTGCTGGCATCATGTGGACATACCGTCAACATCGGGGACTCAGAGACCTGCCTCGGGCGATGTTCAGCGTATTGCAGTCAATGAGTGTCAGCGAATCAAGTTGCCCGGAATTAGGATAGTGATGCTCCTAGAAAGCGGTTTATCGGAGACAACAAGTGCAGAATGACGAAACTGGTGTCTATTGCAGCTTATCTTTGGCTGATGCTGCCGTAATACTTCAGCTTAAGATATTCCCAAAACGCTGGCACTATATGGCGCGTGATGGCATCTCACAGCTTCCATATCGGGGACGTGTGAGCTGTCTAAGCAAGAGCAGAAGGGTGTCAAAAACAGAGCATAATGTAAATCAGAAAGAGATGCCGCAATTTTCTTCGAATCCAAAACATTTTTCTAAGCGAGCGGGACCAAATAACTTCAAGCGTCGGTATTTGTGTACAGAAATCGTACGACATTTCAGAGCCAACTGTGTTTTCGATTTGACTATTCTAATCAGCGTTAGGATCACGATGCAGCGGTTCCACGTACTTGTCGACAAAAACTGGAAATATGCTTATGAGCACAGCTACGAGATGTAGCTCTAGCAGGAGCCGACAGCTAGCCAAAGATCAGAACCACAACGTACGCGACTAGTTCAACTGGCTTAGACGCTTCGGAGGCGTTGGACCGACTCCGAATATAGAACGAGTGGGTGGATTAGCGTCCAAGAGCATTCGAAGCTCTGAAGCCGTGAAGAGTTTGAAGTGGTTGAAGGAATGGACGCCGCCCGAGGGCAGCTGGGACCCCGATTAATGCTGCGGAAGGGTGGCCAAGAGGCGTAACGCACCTCTGAGCATGACCGCGACACGTACCGATTGCTCCGCATTACTAGGGCAATGAGGTCTTGAGAGGTGCCGCTACCGGGGAGGGGGGGGGGGGCAGTGGGTCAGCTTGTCCAACCTTAAAGTGAATTCCATCAACCTGGAGACTTGCCCGAAATCCGTGGAGAAGGGGATAGGCTGTTGGGTGTCTTTTCCTGCTCCGAACGCCTTTTGCCTCTGTAGTGTACATATTTGCCTCCACGGCCCCCAGCCGACGCCACGGAAGGCATTATAAGTTTGAAATTGCTGCCTCCTGACCCGTTCTATTGCCGAAACCTTGCCAAATCGAAACTGCTTTCTGAGTATCTCAGTCAATGCACGGATTAAAGGTGGTGGCTGAGGGCAGGGCTGAATCAGCCCCCCCCCCCCCTCCCCTCTGGCTTGCTGAGTTTTTGGTAATGCGGATCTGATGGTCTCCGACAGGCTTGTCACGTGAGCCGATGCATTTTCCTGTGCGGCGCGTTGTCATGACGACCCACTAAGTTGCGATCGTTGGCCAATTTCGTTGGTCTGAAGGGACTCCAGGGTACATGGCCATCGAGCGGCCTCGTGCGCCAGCGCAGGCCCTCTCACGACCACTCGCACCCGTCCCGTGCGGCCTCTGCCCAACACTGAGCCCCACACGGAGCCCAACACTCCGCCCCACACTGAGCCCAACACTCTTCCCAGCCCTCCGTCGACCAACAGCGCCAGCACGTCGCCTCCTCGCGACGGTCCAGCGCGGGTGTCGCGCAGTGCGCTGACCGACCCTCTCGAGCTGTCGCAACCGGAGGGACCTCGGTAAACGCTGTCGGACGCTGGGCAGGCGAGAGCGTGTTTTCGACAGCCGCGCCCCGGCGCGCTCCGCTCCCGCCATGAGATGACGTTTCTAGTGGCGAGGGGTGATTCCGCGCTTGGCCGGCTCACGCGTCTGCGTGTGAGGGTGAGTAGGTACGTGCGTGCGTGCGTGCGTGCGTGCGTGCGTGCGTGCGTGCGTGCGTGCGTGCGTGCGTGCGTGCGTGCGTGCGTGCGTGAGGGGAGGAGCTGATTTGTGGTGGACGTAAGCAGGCCGGTTCGGCGCTGGATATGTATGCTCCCCAGAAACATGGCGAGTTGGCTCCTGGTCGCCGGCCGACCGTGGTCTGTGGTCACAGTAGCGACACCGGCAGCAGCAGCACACCAGACAGGAGATTGACTGGATGATGTCATCCTTCCGGGTCCACTTAAATGCTTGTTGGCGTGTTATGCATCCCATTGCCTTTTTGTTAACAGTCAAGTGGTCATGAGCACTGATGGGGCCTATTACGCCCCATTCCAAAAAAGTCGTTGGGATTACAACTCACAGATATTTGAGCGAATCACCAGCTGTACATCGGACCAGCACATGGTACAAGTAATACGAACACCACCTGGGCCTATGCATGCCCAAATGGGGCGGGAGCTAACGTTTGTCTTTTCGAGGCGCTCACAAAGCCATGCTGCCCTAGTGAGTTGATCCTCTATGTCAGTTTCTCAAAGCAAAACTTCACCAAGGGTGATTTACATGATGCAACTTGAACACTTTGACTGAAAAACATTGAGTTTCGCTGGCTAGTTTTGTTCTTCAACTGCCTACAAGCAAGATATGACTAGAGGCAACCCTATTTCTGGCCGCATTTCAATTGTCCATATGAGTCTTGAGATGATGTTTTCGTTTTAGCCATCGGCGACTGGTCTTATAAAGACAAAGTTCCCTGATGGCAGTAGAACCGGAAAGCAGGCGGGTGATGGACTCTGCCAGTTTATTCAAATCCAAAGCAACTATGAAAGTGGCATATAAGTACGTTATGTGTCTCCGACGGCTGGTGAGTAACCACATACCCCTAGCCGGTGCGACGCTAATGTGTGTGAGAGAGAGAGGAGAGAGAGAGAGAGAGACGAGAGAGAGAGAGAGAGAGAGAGAGGAGAGAGAGAGAGAGAGAGAGGGAGAGAGAGAGAGGAGAGATGAGAGAGGAGAGAGAGAGGAGAGAGAGGAGAGAGAGAGGAGAGATGAAGACGAGATGAGAGAGAGAGCGAGAGAGAGAGCAGCGCGAACCGGATTTGTTTCAGACATAATGACTGCTGGGCAATGGGCTTGAAATAATGTTAATAGTGCATTAACTCGAATACTGTCTAGATGGCGAGCACTAAAATGGCTGCAACTATGACGACGGGCTATTCTGGCGGCAAACCGCATGTACCCACACAGAGGATCGACAACGCGGGCATAAGCGGTCACGCAGCGACGAACCAGTGGCGTTGCGAGTAAAAATGCAGTACAGAGTCGCTTAAACACCATCGAAGACATCCACCACCCAGGGCATCCACATTTCCTCATTTTCCGCTTCACCCGTCGCCCTCGCGACGTTTTTCTTGCCGGAGGCACGCCACCGACGCCGGCCGCGTGTCGGCGGTCCTCTGCCGCGTGTCGGCGGTCCGCTGTCGCGTGTCGGCGGTCCGCTGCCGCGTGTCGGCGGTCCGCTGTCGCGTGTCGGCGGTCCGCTGCCGCGTGTCGGCGGTCCGCTGTCGCGTGTCGGCGGCCCGCTGTCGCGTGTCGACGGCCCGCTGTCGCGTGTCGACGGTCCGCTGTCGCGTGTCGGCGGTCCGCTGCCGCGTGTCGGCGGTCCGCTGTCGCGTGTCGACGGTCCGCTGTCGCGTGTCGGCGGCCCGCTGTCGCGTGTCGGCGGTCCGCTGTCGCGTGTCGGCGGTCCGCTGTCGCGTGTCGACGGCCCGTTGTCGCGTGTCGGCGGTCCGCTGCCGTGGCTGGGAGTCTCATCTGAGCACCGGCCCTCACCACGACGTCACGTCCCAGCGCGGGGCTAGACTCGGAACAAGTAGTGACACAGAATGAACGTTGTAGTGCCCAACCTGTTGCCTCAGTCACCAATCCATAAGTCTGAAAAAGTCAGTTGTGGCGGACAGATAACCCAGCCAGAGTGGCAAGTTCTGGCCGTGAACGGTTACCGGCTTTTTCAGAAAGCTTCAGACATAGGGGCTCGTGAGCTGGACGAAGCCATCGATGTCCACTAACCCGATCTCCACCCCGCAGCCATTACCGATTGAACCAAGGGTCTCGGTGGTATACATTTTCAGATTAGCCTAAATAAGTTGAGGTGTATTGACAACATTCACAGAGTGCATGACATTTTAGACCAAGTCTTTGTCACATTTCCGTTAAATCAACCACTTGCTAATGTTTTGCGACAGCAAGCTGGTACCATACATCATAAGCTCTTAATCTATCTTGCTTAAACGCTAGATGTCACTTTGCATGATATAGTGGCAAGTACCAGGTTTCTGTCATGTTTTGTCCCTAAGTGTGATGAGGAAAATTATATGAAACAAAAAGGTGGAACAGTTCATTTTGTATGCGGTGTAGTTCGGAGCTTTTTGGGATATGTGCCCACGCTAAGCAGCGCGTGTTGCGTGAACCCTGGCACCGCCATCCGAGCGGTACATTTCAGGCTTATGACAGAATTTCGCGACGAAAGTTTAACGAGCTGCAATGCTCAGCAAGGTCTGTCCTGCCCTCTGACGTCATCTGATCTTTGGGGCGGGCGCTGCCGCCGGCCGTAGGTCGTCCCAGTCGTGGGCATGTAGAGAGCAGTTAAAGCAACTCGAACCCACCCCGCCATGCCTAGGTGAATCAGAAGGCAGGCGCTCCAACCAGCTGAGCTGTCGGTGTAGAGAAACACCGCCCATCGTGCAGCCTGCGAAAATTTGCTTTGACAGGAAACGCCCCTAATCTGACCTGACATTGGCTCTTGACCTTCTATAACATCATGATATGACTCAGTTGTGCGAGAACGCTCACTTCCTTTGGTGTCGCCATCAGTCCAAAACGACTATCATAACGCTAGTTAAGATGTCATGGCGTCCTTCCAGCATGTCGTTTTTTTAGGCCTGTCGAGGGACTTATAACCTCATCAGTCGCATAAAAAAGCTTCTTTGAGAACTAATGGGTAACATCGATCAGCGCCATTCACAGCCTTTTGACTTTACTCTGATCCAGTAGCTAGAGATTGAGATACCAGGCGACGATATTTCATTAGCATTCTGTCATGCGTTCGCCAGTGGCGAAGCATCCCCGGCATGACCAGGGTAATACCCCGTCAGCAGAGGAACCAACTGCGGGAATACCATCGCTTCTCGGGCGGGGAAGCCCGTGGCTCACCGGAACGTCTTGTGATCACTGCCGTCGACTGTCACTGTACTATGCTCCCGTCGCCGCCAGGACCGCCGGGCCTGGGCCGCCGTCAGCAGTGGTCCAACACGGCCGTAATCGTCGTGGTGGCGCTGGCTGTCCTCTTCCTGCTGGTGGTCGGCAGTCTCGCCGGCTTCTACTGTGAGTGTTGCTGACCCCGCGCGGCACAACTCGGCTGCGGGCACGGTGGGCTTTGGCTGCGAGTGTGGCGGGCTTCGGCTACGAGTTCAGCCGGTGCGGGTGTGGCCGCCACTGTGCAGCGGGGTTCCGCTGCAGATGCCGCCGCCACTGTGCAGCGGGGTTTGTCTTTGGCTGTGGCTGCCACTGTGCAGCGGGGCTCCGCTGCAGGTGCCGCCGCCACTGTGCAGCGGGGTTTGTCTTTGGGTGTGGCTGCCACTGTGCAGAGGGGTTCCGCTGCGGAGGTGGAGGCCACTGTGCAGCGGGGTACCGCTGCGGATGTTTTCACTGGACCGCGACCTGCTCCGGGTGTAACCGAAAGCTGTGGTGACGTCACATGTGATAACGGGCAGTGGCGGCATCGGTTTCTATTTCTAGCTGGTGAAAAAGCCACAAACCTTCGTAATCACAAATGAAAATGCTGCCATGCCACACTGAAATGCTGCACCACCAAATAAGAGAAGACGAAGTAGCGCCCTGTAGCAATTTTGTTGCCGAAGAAGCTGGGTTTGGCAGATAGATTGAGTTCCGCGGAGCATTTTGATGGAGCTTACACTTCTTTGCATGCGCTAAGTGAAATTAGAGCGTGCCAAGACATGCTTGATTTTGGCGCGACTCGATGCTGGCAGAACCAGGGTGGTGTCGCCAGTGTGGATCGGGTCAGCTGATCATTGGTCCTCCGTTCGCTGCCCATTAAGCCACAGATCCGGAGCAAATATAAACAAAGTGTCAGGTGAGAAGGTCAACCGAAAAGCTATAGGGGTTACTGATTTCTTTTTCAGATAATTATACATTATTATTTGTTTACAGACTTTGAATAATTAGGTCTTCTTTACATACATGAAATTGTCTATAGACAAATGGATTCTAAAATGGTCATCTGAAAAAGGCTAGCTCGCCAACGCCTTCCAATGGGCCAGCTATCTAGGATAGCCTATGGCCTGTGGCCGGTGGCAGAGGCCGCGCTGGCGGTCCGGTGACATGGTCCGCCCCGGCCTCTGGCGAAGAGAGCGGGGTGGACCATGCCGAGCATGCGGCGCGTTAATACGCGTTCGGGTTGGGGGTCAAATTGGCCCTCCCTCCCCCCTCCGAAGGTTTTTCCAGAATAATTTCCGTGCGGCGTGGCGTAGCCGCGCCAAATTTGTCATAGCTGTAGACAATTGAACAGTGGATCGTTTGATGTAAAAATTTAGATGTACCTTGTAAGGTCGCTGACCTATGGCAGGTCAGCGTCAGGTCATGGTTTTAGCGAAGGCAATTTCAAGGAAATCGTTCAATCTCATGCCACGACGGAGTGTTTGACGAGGCCATACATCTCTGAGATGCCTTTTTAGGCCTACACAAATGTAGAATGAACAAAGTACGTTCACCTAAGGTTAGGTATGAAGGTTGGACCAAGGTCAAAACTAGCCTGTCTTATTACCTGACGATTGCCTTATAGGCAATTTCTGATAGTTTATGGTGTTCATTTAGAATTTATTGATAGCACAAACCGCATTATGCATCTTTCATTGACATCTTATAGGTTAGAAAAGGTCATTGACCTGAGATGACCCAGGTCGACATTTTGTTTTTTAGGGAACATACTCTCTATCGTAATCTTTGTCGCTTATGCAAATGCAACACTCAAAGCAGTCCTGTATAATTTTGACCTTCAAAAGGTCAAACAAGGTCACAGACCTTAAATGACATTGTAGCAATTTTGCTCAGAAGCAGTTGTCTAAGTTTGGGAGGCACTTTGGAGACCAACCTTGAATTTGACCTTGTTTAACCTTATTTGATCTGAAGGTCATGAATTAGGAATCTCAAGCTATGACCTAAGTGAGTTAACGTACAGGTCAACACACCCTGTAAATTTGGTGCCTCTAGCTTTTTAAGTTCCCGAGATCTCAGGAGGTCAAATTGACCCCCACCCCACCCGAGCGAAGCGTATCTAGTCGGCCACCCGGGCGCGTGTTAAGCTTTCGTTGCGAAGTGCTGCTGTCGACCCGGATTGTTACGATCGTATGGTGGGTTCAGGGCTCGCGCACCATCCAGCGTTTAGGGTGGGCGTGCGCCTTAGACATGTGCCCAGTTAAAATGTTCGGATTGTTTTTTAAATAGCCGCGTCACCATACCGCACTGCACGTGTACACTTGTATTAAAAATGCAAAGAGGGTGCTAAAATATCCCTTCTTTTCCGTTTGAATGCATAGCTGGAACGCTGTGTGAGGTCTTCTTATTGCGCTGCAAAATCTTGTTTGAAAAGAATGTCCCAAATTGAAAGATATTGAAGCAAGCATCACATGTTATGAAATGAGCTCACTTATAAATATTATTATACTGTAAGTGGAAAAGACTGCTCTAGACAACACAATTTCTCTGTTTGGTAATCTCTTTAACACGTCATTGTTTAATTGCGTACTTGTGCTTTGCACAACCTTGATTGAAAGCCCATTGACGGCCGTTATACCTGGAAATTGTGCTCACAAACGCTAGATGCGAACGACTCGATAATTACATTTGTCTTGGCTTTGATTGCCGCGTGGTCACTGGAATGGCAGGATTTGAATGACGTTATTATGTCGGCATGGACGCGTGGGCAACTTTGAAATGGCTTGGCTTGGCTTTGGCTCATCGAATGGCTTTAAGATGGCTGTTTCAGTTAAAACCCCCATACTAATGTGGAGCCCTCCCTTTAACAGTCGGCAACACGCAGGGCACAGGTGTCACTAGATTAGTTAGATGCGCATTTGAATGGAGCGCCCATCAGCTGACGACAGCAGATAAATGGCTGTGCGCTCGCACAGTCTGCCACCACTGGACTTCATGCCATGCGATAAGCTAAATAACCTTGTCCACTGGACAAGCCAGCAAACGTTCAATAACTCAAGGCCGCCTTCAGACTTGAGGAGGGACGCGTCGCCGTTGACAAGGCCGGCAGGACATCCGATCGCCTGCAGGATGCTCAGCTGTTGCGTATCCAGGAGCGCCAGGGGGCCATCAGGAGAAAATTTGTAGTCCCTTTTTCATGGATATTGATAACTGGCCGTGATATCGCTCCTGGTGTTTTGCCATTGGATTGACAGTCAACTGTTGCGAATGTCACAATTTCGGGACAAATACACCGGCTATTGTTGAGGAACAGGTTAGTTGACTCTTATCCAGGCGACCCTGTGCTTTAAAAGCCGCGACATATTAGAGCCCATTTTTGTCCTTATCTGCCTGTGTTATGTCATGAAAAACATGTCACAGCTTGCAGACTGGCCTATCACACGGGGGAGTTGGCATGATGCAAACACAAGGCGTGTACAGCATACTACTCGGAACACAACGAGCATGATACTAATATCACTGTGTTAAGGTACAATAGTTGAAGGAGGTTTGCAGGGCTCCCTTCAGTCAGCATTCCCTTCTTCGCTGGGGACGAGGAGGGGAGGGCTCAGAGAAACATTGAGGGACTTAAGTCAGCTTTGGGCCTCAGTCCCGCCCCCCTCGCCCCGAAGATGGACAAAGTGACGTCACTCGTTCTTTAACCCTAAAAGTTGAACAGCTTTGTTTCAAGCAGTTATGCCCACCGTGCTTAGTGAGTAATTAGTGACCTCTGCCCCCGTGGCTGCCTCCGCGAAACGCGGCCGTTCGCTTGCGGTTAATGATATAAAGCTAGCGATTGTGAATAGAGGTATGTAGCCCACCCACCCCCACAACGCGTCGAATGTGAACCCCATCTGCGTGGAGTGTGAGTCCCACTCGTGTTGAATGTGAACCCCACTCGCGTCGAGTGTAACATTGATACCAGCGCCATCTGTCTCGTCACGCCTCTGTCGCTGCCTGGCGTAGGCAGCGGAAACAGCATGTGGAATGTACTGTTTCAGTACTCTCATACAGTATACCACTTACAGTATACCACGGTAGCTCAGAGATACAGTACTTTTCCACTTACAGTATACCACGGTAGCTCAGGGATACGGTACTTTTCCAGTTACAGTATACTACGATAGCTCAGGGGTGTTGTCCAGCAAAACATGATATAAATTGGCAAGCACTAATAATACGATGCAGTGACCACGAACGTGTCACCCACATAGCGCTATGTCGGGCCGAACCCCCATCGCACACGCAAAGAGATATTGATATCACACACATGATCATTTGTATTGATATACACCAATATAATCAATACACATGCATGATATTTTACACTGGTTGGCCCGTTCAAACGAACCGATCCACAACTGCTAACAGGAATTGAGGACGGGCAGGGCCTTACGCATGGGATGCGTTTACAGGGCCTTCAACATGCAATCTACAGACTTGCCGTCATGCTGCGCACATGTCACGCGCGTGCCATGCTCGGCGCAACCAGACCAGACCAGACCAGACCAGCAATAAACTAGCAAGCATAAAGACCTGACCGTACGAGTGAGAAAAGGGTCTGTGGTTCTTGTTCAGGTGTCCTGGATCATCAAGACATGCCGCCTATGATTCACATGCACATGTCACGTGCTCTACATGCCTGACGATCAATGGACAGTTGACATCAAAGAGGCCATTCGACGGTCCCCCTCCCCCTAGTCCCACATAAAGGTACCATGTGGGGAGCGGGGATAAGTAGGGAGCGAGTGGTAGGTCCCAAGTGGGTATGACCTCTCCTGACCATGAGATCCTCATGCTCATATCTCAAGGTTGCATGCCATTCACCCAAGGCACCTCCGGGCAAGCCTGCTGCCTTCGTCTCATTCTCCTCTCTCCACAATAGTAGTTGCTAAGGGCAATTGTCTTGGCAAAGGCGATGGTTCTTTCCACCACCTTTGCCAGCCGACACGCAGCGGGCTGGCCAGATGACATGTGTGACACCATTTCTCCAAACATGCTGACTGTCAGATGACCGTGTTACTGGTCATGCTATCGCGGCGAGACTTTGGTGACGGGCCTTTTCCAAGAGCGGCGAGCTGCACAGCACTTAAATTTACGTGAGAAAGACTAAATTCATGGAAAA